CAACTTGCATTGTAACATTCCTCTTTCAGTATATAGTATATGTATATATTTATCCTTCATGTAATCACCATAGCGACTATTAGCCGGAAGTATGCATTCTGAGGTAGGCTGGATATATATGTGTTTAGGCATATCATCATCCAATTTTTATCTATCACACTATCACACTTTTCTCAGGACCGAGACTCAAACCTACTATATATATAAATTGCATGTTTGGGTTCTATATCCAAGAGCATGAAAGTACAATTCAAGGGATTCCATAGAATTCCATATATATGTATTAACATGTATATACTTCTTTGTACCCCACTTCTCTCTCAGGATTGAGACTCAAACCTGCCATCTATCTGTCTGTCTGTCTATCTATCTATCTACCTACCTACCTAACTTACTTTTCTCTCAGGACTGAGACCCAAAGCTGCCATATCCATATATTTATTTGTATCCCACTTTTCTCTCAAGACTGAAACCCAAAGCTGCCATATACATATATATGTGTGAGTGCACCCCACTTCTCTCTGGATTGAGGCACAAACCTGCCATCTTCTATCTATCTATCTAAAATGTTCTGTTCGTTTTGAGTGACAGCATAACTCAAAAACTGCTAGACCAATTGTCGCCAAATTTAGCCACAAGACACCTACTAACCCAAGGAGTGACCATCACTAAAAAATTGTTTTTTTCTTCATTTGGGAGTTGTAGTTGCTGGGATTTATAGTTTATCTACAATGAAAGAGCATTCTGAACACCACCGATGATGGAATTGAACCAATCTTGGCACACAGGCCTCTCATGACCAACAGAAAACACAAGAAGGGTTTGATAGGCATTGACCTTGAGTTTTGGAGTTGTAGTTCACTTACATCCAGAGGGCACTATGGACTCAAACAATTATGGATCTAGACCAAACTTGGCACGAATACTCAATATGCCCAAATGTGAACACTGGTGGAGTTTGGCAGAAATAAACCTTGATATTTGGGATTTATAGTTCGCCTACAATCAAAGAGCATTCTGAACCCCACCAACAATAGAATTGGGCCAAACTTCCCACACAGAACCCCCATGGCCAACAGAAAATGCTATGTTTTCTGGTGGTCTTTGGCAACCCTTCTGACACCCCCTCGTGACCCCCCCAGGGGTCCCGACCCCCAGGTTGAGAAATGCTGCCTTAAGGCCATCCAGTCCAACTCTCTTCACCAAGGCAAGAAAACATAAAGCGGTCCTGACAAAGAGCCATCCAGCCATAGATAGATTATATATGATTCACACACACACATATGTATATGACAGATAGAGTATTATAGATTTGAAAGGGACCCCTAAAGAAGGACAATTACATGTTGCATGTTCCAGAGTAGGCAAACCAGACAATCTCTACATCAACACTGACAAAAAAAACCCAGCAAGAAATACTGTTTACCCACAAGCATCAAGAGATTACATATATTAGAATCCAATACTTTCTCGTTGCTTTATTTTCCAGGTCACCAGGCTGGGCCACAGCAACTCATGGCAAGGGATGGCTAGTATATGTATATATTTGTACCCCACTTTTATCTCAGGACCGAGACCCAAAGCTACTATATATAAATGGCATCTTTGGGCCACAGTCCACAGAGAAAGGTGAGGTGGAAATAACAAATACATAACCTCTCTCTCTGTGTGTGTCTCGCTCACTCATCCGCTTTTATGCCTGAGCACAGAGCTAGAAAGGGTGACACTCGCTTTTTATCATGGCCCTCAGTCAGCAACTCTTTTCAGGGGCCTGACTGGAGCGAAATGCCTTCCAAATGTGCTGAGGGCCAGAAACCCTCCCCTGCGGCCTGAGCTCAGGCCTCTATAGTTAGCCCCGGTGACTGGCTGCAAAGCTATGTGAGAGAAGGAGGGAGCCGTAGGGGTCCCCACTGAAGCTTTCTCACCAATCCTTGTTTGCATAACAAGCTAATTTTTTTCAAAATCCAATTCTCAGAGGAAAGTGAGGTGAAATCTTCTGAACAGGGGCACTGGCAGCATTGTTTAGTTACTTGTGTTCATTCTATTTAAATGGGTTATTGGTTTATTATAATCGTTTTATTTTGATTATTGTTGTAGTATTTACACTGTTGTAAGCCACTCCAAGTCCCCTTGGGGAGATGGGGCGGAGTATATTATTATTATTATTATTATTATTATTATTATTGACACAAAAGCACAGTATGTTACAGCAAACGAGATCTATATGCTGGATTTTGTATCACAGAATCACAAGTCGAATACTTCCCAAGCGTCTAGGACTGTGTGATGTATTATTATTATTATTATTATTATTATTATTATTATTATTATTATGTAATTTGGAACTGGTACATTTTTGGAGTGAAACGCCACTCTATCTATCTATCTATCTATCTATCTATCTATCTATCTATCTATCTATCTATGGGCCTTCCACCCAGCCATAAACCAAAAATATCAAGGCAGGTAATCCACAATATCTGCTCTGAACTGGGTTATCTGAGGCCCCTTCCACACAGCTGAATAAAATCCCACTATTTGCTTTGAACTGAAATATGTTGCAGTATGGACTGAGATGACCCAATTCAAAGTAGATATTGTGGGATTTTCTACCTTGAGGATTTTATGGCTGTGTGGAAGGACCCCTAGTTTGGGGAGGGCCCAACCTTCTTGGGCAGAGAAGGCTAAAGGCCTTGTCAAACTTCAGCTCCCAGAGATTTATAGCATGGAGCCATGGCAGTTGAAGCTGAACTGAAATAGATGGCAGTGTGGACAAAGGGCCCTTCCACACAGCCCTATATCCTAGAATATCAAGGCAGAACATCCCACAATATCTGCTTTGAACTGGGTTATCTGATTCCACACTCAGATAATATGGGATTTCCTGCCTTGATATTCTGGGATATAGGGCTGTCTGGAAGGGCCCTCAGATAACCCAGTTCAAAGCAGATACTGTGGGATCTTTTGCCTTGATATTCTGGGATATAGGGCTGTGTGGAAGGGCCCTCAGATAACCTGGTTCAAAACAGATATTGTGGGATTTCCTGCCTTGATCGTCTGGGTTATATGGGTGTGTGGAAGGGCCCCCTTGATTATGTTCTTATCTCAGATTATCTGGCATTGGAGATTCATATAAACCAGTTCAAAGCAGATAATCTGGGATCAGATCCTGGGGTATGAGGCCTGAGTCCACACTGTCATATAACCCAGTTCAGTCTGGATTTTATACAGCTCTGTGGAGTTGTTTATTCGTTCAGTCGCTTCTGACTCTTTGTGACCTCATGGACCAGCTCATGTCAGAGCTCCCTATCGGCCGGGGCCACCCCAAGCTCCTTCAGAGTCAAGCCAGTCACTTCAAGGATCCCATCCATCCATCTTTCCCTTGGTCGGCCCCTCTTCCCTTTTCCTTCCCTTTTTCCCCAGCATCATTGTCTTCTCCAAGCTTTCCTTTCTTCTCATGATGTGGCCATAGTACTTCATCCTTGCCTCTACTGTCCTTCCTTCCAATGAGCAGTCAGGCTTTATTTCCTGAAGTATGGACTAGTTGGCTCTTCTTGCGGCCCAAGGCACTCTTAGAACTTTCCTCCAACACCACAGTTCAAAAGCATCTATCTTCCTTTGCTCAGCCTTCCCTATGGTCCAGCTCTCACACCCATAGGTTACAATGGGGAATGCCACTATGCGGATCTTCGTTGCCAGTGTGATCTGTGGAGTTACACTTAAGAAATGTCCCTGCTCCTACTTATATACAAATCCAACTGACAGAGCCTCTCCTGTTCGTAAATTGGGGACTTCCTGCCTGTCTACAGAGACACTCATGACTAGAGCCGCCTTTTGTGCCCCAGGGCCCTTCCACACAATCCTATATCCCAGAATATCAAGGCAGAACATTCCACAATATCTGCTTTGAACTGGGTTATCTGAGTCCACAATGTCATCTAGGGAAGTAATGCTATCCCTCTATTCCACCTTAGTTAGACCACACCTGGAATATTGTGTCCAATTCTGGGCACCGTGATTGAAGGGAGATGTTGACAAGCTGGAATGTGTCCAGAGGAGGGCAACTAAAATGATCAAGGGTCTGGAGAACAAGCCCTATGAGGAGCGGCTTAAGGAGCTGGGCATGTTTAGCCTGAAGAAGAGAAGGCTGAGAGGAGATATCATAGCCATGTATAAATATGTGAGGGGATGTCATAGAGAGGAGGGAGCAAGCTTGTTTTCTGCTTCCCTGGAGACTAGGACGCGGAACAATGGCTTCAAACTACAAGAGAGTTTGAACCTGAGGAAGAACTTCCTGACTGTGAAAGCCGTTCAGCAGTGGAACTCTCTGCCCTGGAGTGTGGTGGAGGCTCGTTCTTTGGAAGCTTTTAAACAGAGGCTGGATGGCCATCTGTCAGGGGTGCTTTGGATACAATATTCCTGCTTCTTTGCAGGGGGTTGGACTGGATGGCCCATGAGGTCTCTCCCAACTCTTTGATTCTATGTATTCCTGTTCAAAGCAGATGTGGGATTTTATACAGCTGTGTGGAAGCGGCCTGAGGTAATGTGGGATTTTCTGCCTTGATATTCTGGGATAGAGGGCTGTGTGGAAGGGCCCCCAGAGTAGAAAAAGTAGAACTCAGCCTTGATCCAGGCCGGCTAAAGTGGTATCCAAGTGCATCAATTCCACAGTGGAGAAGAGAGGGGGAAAGGGAGAGAGAGAGAAATGTGTGTGAGAGAGAAATATCCCTTTTTGGAGAAGAGGAGGAGGAGGCTTGACCTGACGCGCAAAATGGCCGAGGCCGCCCCTCTGAGGGGAAGGGACGCGGCTTGTTTTCCCGCCTAAGAAGAAGAAGAAGGAGAAGAAGCAGAAGGGGAGAGTTTGGGAGGCGCCAYTGAGCCCGTTTCCTTGGCTCTGGGAACTGAGRGAGAGGGAGAGGGRGGGGGGCCCGCCCTCAGCAGCCAGGGGAGGAGGAGGAGGAGGRGGAGGAGGAGGGCGGCCTCTCTCTCTCTCTCTCTCTCTCTCTCTCTCTCTCGCCTTCCCTCCCCTCCCCTTCCCTCGGAGGCAGAAGAGAGGCCTGGCCGGTCCAGGCCGGGACTGAGCCGCCGCCTGGATTTCTCGGAGTAGGCCCCGCAGGAGGCGCTGGCGGCGGGAGGTGCGTTCTCCTCCTCCCCCCTCAAGGCCCAGCAGCCGCCATCGCCAGGAAGCCAGGAGACGAGGAGGAGGAGGAGGAGGAGGGGGAGGGGGAAGCGGGAGGCATGAACCACCGGCCCCCGCAGCCGGCCCCCTCGGCGGTGGCGGCGGCGGCGGGGAAGATGCCGGCCCCGCCAGCGCCCGCGGGCACCGAGGACGGGCTGCTCCCGGGCCGGCGGAGGAAGCTGGAGGCCATGATCCGGGACCCCCGCTCGCCCGTCAATTTGGAAAGTTTGCTGGTGAGTTGCAAGGGCCAAGGGAGCCACCTCAGGGCGGGACGGGGACAAAGGAAGGCCGCGCCAGGAAGGGGCATCCTCTCGCCATGGGGCGGGTGGGTCTGCGCTGCTCCATCTCTCGGCTTGGGCTGCAACGTGTGTGTAGGGGTCTGCACTCAACATACCTTCCAGTGCAAACTGCATTCGGCAGCATTATGTGGGTCTACTCTACACTCACCATAGCATTCAGATTGAACTGCTTTAAGTAGGACTCCACTCACCATATTATTCAGATTGATGAGCTTTATGTGGGTCTACACACTCACCGTATCATTCAGATTGAACTGCATCACCTTATAATTCAGATTAAACTGCTTTATGTGGGTCTACACTCACATTTCATTCAGACTGAACTGACAACTATATTATTTAGATTGGACTGCTTTATGTGGGTCTACACACTCACCATATCATTCAGACTGAACTGACCACCAAATTATTCAGATTGAACTGCTTTATGTGGGTCTACACGCTCACTATATGAATCAGATTGAACTGCATCACCGTGTAATTCAGATTGAGCTGCTTTATGTGGGTCCACACACTCAGCATGTCATTCAGATTGAACTGCATCACTTTATAATTCAGATTGGACTGCATTATGTGGGTCTACACTCACCATAGCATTCGGATTGAACATCATTATGTGGGTCTACACTCACCATAGTGTAGGTCTACACTCACCATAGCATTCAGATTGAATTGAATCACCATATAATTCAGACTGAACTTTATGTGGGTCTAAACTTACCATATCATTCAGATTGAACTGCATTATGTGAGTCTACCCTCACCATAGCATTCAGACTTAATTGACCATCATATTATTCAGATTAAACTGCTTTATTTGTGTCTACACACTCAGCATATCATTCAGATTGAACTGCTTTATTTGTGTCTACACACTCAGCATATCATTCAGATTGAACTGCATCATGAGGGTCTGCACTCACCATATAATTCCGATGGAACTGAATCACCATATAATTCAGGCTGAACTACTTTATGTGGGTCTAAACTTACCATATCATTGAGATTGAACTGCATTATGTGGATCTACACACTCACCATATCATTCAGATTGAACTGCATCACTATATCATTCAGATTGAATTGCATTATGTGGGTCTGTACTCACCATATCATTCAGATATTAACTGCATCACCTTGTCATTCAGATTGAACTCTATTATGTGGCCTACACACTCACCATATACTTCAGATTGGAGTGCATTATGTGAGTCTACACCAGACATGGGCATACTTTGGCCCTTCGGGGGTTTTGTACTTAAACTCCCACAATTCCTAACAGCCGTGGCAGTTAGGACATGTCGGAGTTGGGGGTTCAAAACACCTGGAGGATAAAAGTTTGCCCATGCCTGGCTACACTCACCATATCATTCGGCTCAAATTGCGTTATTTGGTAGTGAAGTTCCCATCAGCCTTCCTCATCTGCTGATTTTGTTTCCATGGCTTGAAAACAAATCCAGAAAGCAAACTTGTTTTTTTCCCATTTTGTCTCAGGGAATACCATTTAACTCTAATGGGAATTGTGTGCCCAGTGATATAGTATCCAAGTGAGGACTGAGGTGCCTTGTAGAAATTGTTAATGCAGCTTGACACAGCTTTAACTGCCATGGTTCAATGCTGTTTGGACCATGGGATTTATAGTCTTGAGGAGGGTTTGAGCCTTCTTTGTCGAACAGGACTGCTGTCTCAACAAACTGCAAATCCCAGGATTATGGAGTGTGGAGCGCTGGTGATAAAAGCAGTGTCAAAATGCGTTGTTTCTACAGTGTCGATGCACCCTAAGTCCTCCATAAATACCAAAAGCAGTGGATGCTCTAGTCCCATTAATAGGACAGTGGTATATAAAACGGGTCCTTAGAATCAAACCCCAGCGGATACTGAGGTCTCACTGTATACATATAAGTGCAAGATATCTCAAAGTCATCCAGTCATCAAAAGGGGTCTTAATAGTTTTACAAGGCAGGATCTAGATGTACTATCCCTCCCAAAAGTATTTCAGGATTATTTCCTTTAGTAGGGCTGAGTCCTTCTCCCATCCTAAATATTTCTACACTGTCATATAATCCAGAATATCAGGGCAGATATTCCACATCTGCATTGAACTGGATTATCTGAGTCTACACTGCCAGATAATCTATTTCAAAACATATGATCTGGATTTTATTCTGCTGTGTAGAAGGGGCCTGAGAGAGTTCAGTTCTGGAGTTTTAAGTGCTAGGAATGGAAGAGGAAACCTCTGAGTGGTTAGGAGATGGGGAAATACCTTGCGCCCACTTTTTCCTTGGAAGGATGGGGCGAGGAGAGGATGCAACTAAGTCTGTTTCTCAATATGGATGAGTTTGGGGAATGTTCTGTTTGGATGGTTTTAAAAAGGGTTGAAGATTTGTATTTGTGCCAGTGATTAAAACACACACACACACATGCCATACACACCCTGTGTTAGCTTTTCATCATTTCAGGAAAGGGGGGGGGGAGAGATAAAAACCCTGCAAGTGGTGGGTTTTTTGGTTGAGTTATTTTATTGGATGGACATGGAAAATGAAAACCTCCTTTCTTATTCAGGGAGTGTGCTTAGAAAAGGCAAAGGGTAATAACAATTGTTACATTCAAGTGGTTCAGTGAAAGTTGGGATGGGCAAGGCGTAAAGAAGTGTGCCTTTGAGTCTGAAGATAAACGATCTGAATTGGTAGGAAGAGAAGAATTATTAGTGCCCTGAAACAGATTTTTTTTGCATAATTGCTGGAGATATTAATTTTGAGAGAACTCCCCGCAGAACATACTGCTGAGTGGCCCTGAGGTAGCAGTCTTCACTTTGCAGCCTTCACTTTGATCCTAAATGTGTTTGTTTTGGAAGTTCTGCTGAGTGATTGAGAAATAGTCCTGATTAAATCTGCTTGCACTGAGACATTAGCCCATGTCAGGAATACTTTGGTGTCATCTTTGATCCTTTCTCTTTGGCTTCCTATTGAACTTGGTTTGGGTTAATGGGAAACTAATGTTAACTTTCTGCTTGCAAACATTGTAAAGTGGGATAGAATTTGTGGATATGTTTTAGAGAGAACTTTTATCTTGAGGAGTAATAGCTTTGAAGGAATGTCCCACTTCATCTGCAAGTATGAACAGAAGCCTTTTCTTCTTAAGAACGTATGCCTACAAAGAGTCCTTCCTTTAGGAAGGAAGACAGATCTGTGATTTCAACAGTTCTAAATACGAGACTTTGAAAAGGATGCTGTCAACAGGATCTTGTATAGGAACATATCTTTGGGGATAACAGAGACCTCATGCCTAATGGTGGAAAGAGGAATGGGATTTTTGTTTCTGTTCCAAGAGTTTCTCCCTGCAGGCATTTGGAAAGAGGGTTTGGGGCGGAGGGGGGGGGGGGAAGCAGCTGGAGTCATTTGCAAAAATGACTCAGTCCTGCTTGGCTAAAGTACAGGAATTGACTGAACAGTGTATGTGCCTGTCTGTGTATGCTGGAGGGATCTACGCTTGTTAGAGAATCACCCACGTTTGATAATGACATTAATGACACTTGATGGAAGTACTGCAGAGTGTTTCAGTGAGTTATACATCTGTTGAGCAAAAAGAGCTCTTTCTCCAGTATCATTATTTCTAGTTTCCTCTTCATCCATTGAGCGACACTGACTGTAGCAGAGTAGGTCACACAATCTTCAGATTATTAATTTAATTCTAGCTAACTTTTCCCCTCTCCAACCATTCAATTCATTAGGAGCGGTAATATTGGGCTGTTAGATAAACAGATGCTATACTATGAGCTTGAAGTAAAATCATTTCAGTAAGGGAAAAGGAAAAATGATATTAAGACAACTTATTGTTTGTAAGTATGCTTTCAGATGAATTGGGAATTAGTGCACAAAGTATACATTTTATACTTTGTGCTTTTGCAGCAAGCAGTACACTGTGATGCGTCCTTTTATCTCAGCAGAATAATTAGGCTAAACATTTTCTTTTTGTAATAACTGCTGTTCTTGAATAAACATGAAACTGAACTTTAAATTGAAGCAGCTTTTGATTTTAAGGGACATTTCAAATGGTTTGCTAGAACTTCAGTCCTTTGCAGAAAACAAGTGTAATTAGAACATCTTTAGTGGGTATGTTTAGGATGAAATTCGAGTAGTATGTGAAGTGGGATTTCTTACTGTGATATCTTAACAAATCATACAACTTCATTTTGCATTACTAGGATGTAGAGCAACCTGGGGGTCGTGAGGGGGTTTCAGAAGGGTTACCAAAGACCATCTGATGGTCTTAGGAAACCCTTTGGCAGAGAAGGCTGAAGATCTCTCTATTTGTCCTTCTCTTCCTTTTTGGAAACTGATGATGAATCCTCCCATCAAAAGCCCTCCTTCGCTGTGACTGGCCAGCCTCTCAGCCAAGGGGAGGGCTGTTTCCGAGACTCCAGGTGGGGAGGGGAGAGCAGGCATGCTCGGCTTATGGCAGTGTGGTGAGCATGTGCGGGGTGAGGGAAAGTGTGTGAGGCTGGTGGGAGGCTCACGCCAGCAAGTCCCTTCAAAGCATGGGGGTTCTATGTGGGAAGTTTGGCCCAATACTATCACTGGTGAGGTTCAGAATGCTCTTTGATTATAGGTGAACTATAAATCCCAGCAACTACACCTCCCAAATGACAAAATCAACCCCCCACCCCAACTCTACCAGTATTCAAATTTGAGCGTATCGAGTATTTCTGCCAAATTTGGTCCAATGAATAAAATACAGCTTGCATATCAGGTATTTACATTATAATTCATAGCAGTAGCAAAATTACACTTATGAAGTAGCAATGAAAATAATTTTATGGTTGGGGGTCACCACAACATGAGGAACTGTATTAAGGGGTTGTGGCATTAAGAGGGTTGATAAACACTGATGTAGAGGAACAAGGAAGCAGTAAAGCTCTATTGAAAGATCTCCAA